TGTCTTCACAAAGGAGACGTCAGGCAGCTGCTCGAAGATCTCGCCTTTGGAGAAGACTGTTGATTTTACACTCGAAAAATGTAAGTATCAATACTTGAAAATTCAAATTAGCCCAAGATTAATTGCATTGCTAGCTCACCCCAACACTTTCGTAAAAATTATAAATGCTGACCAATAGTTAATTATATTGCATATTTTCGTACTGAAAATTAAATATTTTAGTAAAACAAGCACAAATGTAATTTCTTTGTATTGTTATATGAAATAACTATGCATGCATAATAGACTAATTCAACCAATGTGAATACATAAATTTTCAGTCCAAGCAATGAATTAATGCATTCATTAATGCAATTATATATTATTTAGACAACAATAGGAAACATGAACAACAATTAGTAAATGACTGAATAAAACTAAGCATCACAATAAATGAATACAAGTCAACACATTCTAACGATCACATATTTACAGGTGGTGAACCCTACATCCTACTGCCATCTAAACACAGCTGTCCAGATTCTGTGACTTTATTTGGATGAAGCAGCTGACCACCGTGCCCACTTTCACCTGTCTCTGCCGTCCATCAGGTCCCTCATTGGTGCACTCAGACTGGAATCTGACTATGGGAGGGAAAGGGACATCGAGGTGCTTGTGTTCCTCTACTGGCTGGTCCATGCAGTATCCTACAGGGTAGTGTCACAGACCTTCTATATCCCCAAGACCAATGTGCATAATATTGTGCACAGAGTGAGCAAAGCAGTCCTGGGAATTTTGAGGAGGATGATTTGCTTTCCAACCGGTGATGATCTGGAGGCAGTGGGAGCAAGAATTGCACAGCTGGCTGGGTCACCAGCTTTCAGCAGGGCAGTTGGTGCAATAGATGGCTATCATATCCAAATGAAACCTCCAGCAAAGAACGCCCACGGTTACTACAACAGGAATTTTACTCCATCCAACTCCAGGCCATCTCTGATCACCAAGGGATATTTATTGATATTTTTGTGGGATATCTTAGGTCTGTGCATGATGCCAGGATGTTGAGGAACAGTCCTGTGTATACTGGCAGCCTGTACCCACCGCCAGGGAAGTGCATCCTCGGGGATGGTGGCTATCCTTGTCTGAGTGCACCCATCTGCTTCATCACGACATACAGAGAGCCTGTACAGAACCCTGTGCAGCCTCATTTCAACAGCAAGCACTCCCGTACCTGGAACATCGTTGAGAGAGCTTTCGGGATGATGAAGACACGCTGGCGCTCTAATTTCTTCAAGGCCTTAGAGATCAGCCCTGCCTTTGTGCCTGATGTTGTTGCGTGCTGCGCAGTGCTTCACAATCTCGCTCTTCTCAATGGGGACATCATTGAGGCAGAGAATGAGGAAGACTATGATGACGGACCCCCTGAACCCCACAACCCTCAGGCAAGAGTGGGAGATCACACGCGGGATAATATGGCAACTGCTGTGTCTGCTCCAAACATCTGTGTGCCTGCTCTCCGTGAGCATCACTACCTATAAAACGTTTAAATAAATTAAAAAATTTAAAATTCATATTATCAGCATTCCATTTCTTGCCTAATTTAATTGTTTACAATTACAGTCTAATTTGTGGTGTAGCTTTATTACTTTTGTGGTGTAGTGAGCTAAACTTCTGAACTGGTAAGCAGAAATGTTGCTGGTTCAATCTCTGCAGCGATCACCACCAGTGTGTCCTTGACCAAGGCTCTTTTATCCAGGTTATCCACTATGTTACTCTGTGTAGTTCATGCAAAACTGAAGGCAGTTTGAGCAAGCAGTCTCAAGTTCAACTTAGGTCAACATTGCTCTGTAGTCTTTTTCTTACCCTAATTAAACACACCTGAACAATCTAATCAAACCAATTAATAACAGACTACTTGAAAATTACAGACAGGTGTGTTGGAACTAAACCCTACAGAGCAGTAGCCCTCCATGGCATTCCATTATGTGGTCTGTATGCATTTCAAAGTCAGATACACAATAATAAAACTAATGTTTTAAAGTGTTTTTTTTACATTATGCCACACATATTCACAAAATATTCATCCCTTTATATTTAAATTAATTTATGAATGTTGTCACCATCTCAAAGTATCACTAAATGTCTATAAGTCCACAATGTACTGTGAATGTCTAGAAATTATTTGTTTTATATACATAGTATCGGGCAAAAGTCTTAGGCCACCATTTGATGTTTTAGCAATGCTATAAAGACCATATATAATTTTTTTTCTCAGCCTCTTAATTGTAAAACATCAAGAAAATACATGAACTTTGTATGCCATATTAAAAATCAGTAAAACAGCTTCTTTAGGCTAAAGTGGCAAGTATTTGGCATGACCCCCTTTACACTTGAGCAACAGAAGGAACTTCTGGAGAGTTTCTTCTTTGAAAAACTGGAAGGAGTCCAGATGATCACACTACATACAGATTTTGGCTAATGAAGCCATTTTGTTCAGATTTTTTTTTTTACATTTTGTTTATGTATCACCTTTATTTTCTGTTTTTATCTTAATAAAGAGACTGGAAAATAAATATGGATGCTAATTAAAGCATTGCTAAAACAACAAAGCAAGTCCAGAAGGCCAACAATTCACTAAAAATGTTTTTTTATTGGTCTTATGAAGTATTCTTATTTGTTGAGATAGTGAATTGGTGGGTTTTTGTTAAATGTGAGCCAAAATCATCACAATTAAAAGAACCAAAGACTTTACTTCAGTCTGTGTGCATTGAATTTATTTAATACACGAGTTTCACAATTTGAGTTGAATTACTGAAATAAATGAACTTTTCCATGACATTCTAATTTATTGAGATGCACCTGTATAATTGTCCATGAAGGCTGGAAGTGAAAAACTCCTTACATTCAGGTGTGCACAATTATTAGGCATGTTTTCTTTTACTGGTAAAATGAGCCAAAAAAGAGGTTTAACTTTAAAAAAAGAAGGTTACACTTTTTTTTTTTAAATTTAGGTTGGAGAAAGCATAGCCTGAAAGTTTGAATTTTTTTTTTTATTTGAAAGTTTTACAGTTGATGTCAATACAGTCTACCAACAAAAAACAGACAGATAGATGAGAGGAAACAGACAGACAAACAGACAGACAGACACTCAAATACTTTTTACAGTACTCACTACACGTTAAAGAACTTACTGTCTAGCCACATGAAGTGGGCCTCTTCTTTGAATTTTGTCTCACTGACAATGTCCCTAAAAAGCTTGCGCGTGAGAGAAAGTCTCATAAAGGCCATGTCTCCATCGTCTGAGACCACTCTCAACAGGATCTGCCCAAGGATCTCCAGTGGCATCTGTCCAAAATAACCAACAGTCAGTCTAAAATGTGACTGTAGATAAGACATATTGTTAATAAAAATAACAACTGGTCCCTCGATATCTCTTTTTGCCACCGTGAAATCTTCTCAGTCTCCTTAAAGTGTAAATATGGCCGGGAAGTAAGAAAACACACATTCAAATGTATTCTCAATACTTCAATTTATTCATAGAAATACAGATCTTATATAGGCACGTCGAGGGGAGTTTCACCCTCTTAACCAATGAGGATAGGGTGACATACACATACAGGATGTTTGGCCAAGAACATGTGTTTTGTATAAAATCGCCACATATACAGAAAAACATGTACATATTAGGAATAGACTTCCTGGCCAAGAATGCTGAACCCTCCTCACAGTTCAGCATGAACTCCTTTACCTCGTAATCCTAGCATTCATCTCCTTATTTGGACATTTGAACCAAACAACTAATGTATACATTTAAGCCTGCCTACCTCGAATATGAGTAAGAGACATTAAAACACCATACAAGAGAGAGAGAACAGATAGAGGAGGGAGAGGGAGAGGGAGCGGGAAAGAAGCATTTGAACCAAACAACTAATGTATACATTTAAGCCTGCCTACCTCGAATATGAGTAAGAGACATTAAAACACCATACAAGAGAGAGAGAACAGATAGAGGAGGGAGAGGGAGAGGGAGAGGGAAAGAAAGGAGGGGGAATAAGAGAGAGGGGAAAAAAAGGAGGGGTGAGGCATATCTCAAGACAGAGAGTGTTTTCTAACAGTTGCCCGCTTTTGTTTAAAATAAACAATGAATACATAACCACTCGCTGCAGAGTTCCCTAATCCTAAATGTATCATTCTCATACATAGATAATAATACACTGGTCCGCAGAGGCACCAGTAACGAGGATGTCGTCCGCGTATTGTAGCAGACAGGTATCAGGAGGGAGTTGAGCATCCGCTAACGTTGCGTGCACTACGACGGTGAACACAGCCGACGAATCTCTCAGGTCCTGAGGCAGTCTAGACCAGCTAAGTTGAGCATGGTTAAAGGTGATGCCTACCTCGAATATGAGTAAGAGACATTAAAACACCATACAAGAGAGAGAGAACAGATAGAGGAGGGAGAGTGAGAGGGAGAGGGAAAGAAAGGAGGGGGAATAAGAGAGAGGGGGAAAAAAGGAGGGGTGAGGCATATCTCAAGACAGAGAGTGTTTTCTAACACATATTAAAAAAGGAAACTGATAGACTGACAGGATTTTATACTGTGCTTACCTTGGTCAAGTAATCAACAGGTGGAGGTGGGGGAGGGGCTTCCATTGCCTCCAAATTGGAGAGTAATAAGAGTAGCATCAATGTCAAAACCCTGTTAATTGTGCTGTACAAGAATTCAAGTAGAACCCATACCTGCTCTTTCTAGTCTCCTCTTTTTTCTGAGTTGTTTTCGTTCCGCGTTTGACCTTCAAATGTTTAAAATATAAAGAGCTTATGAAGAGAGTTTGATCTTAATGACATCCCCAGAAGATTTGAAATTCACTGGTTTAGACTGATATATGTAATGAAATTATTTGCACTTTATAGTTAACGTACGGTAGCGCATTGCTGCCACAAACATTTATTTTGTCCACTCGATTATATTGGAGAGTAATAAGAGTAGCATCAATGTCAAAACCCTGTTAATTGTGCTGTACAAGAATTAAAGTAGAACCCATACCTGCTCTTTCTAGTCTCCTCTTTTTTCTGAGTTGTTTTCGTTCCGCGTTTGACCTTCAAATGTTTAAAATATAAAGAGCTTATGAAGAGAGTTTGATCTTAATGACATCCCCAGAAGAAGATTTGAAATTCACAGGTTTAGACGGATATATGTCATGAAATTATTTGCACTTTATAGTTAAAACATACACACGGTAGCGCATTGCTGCCACAAACATTTATTTTGTCCACTCGATTATGTTGTATAAACGACATATTTTCTCGTAATAACGAGTTATTGTTAAAATGACAATTATCTTATTAAAACGAAATATCATAAAAACAACATATTATATCATAAAACAACATAACATGTGGCAGCAATATGCGCCATCATAAAAACACTTCTTCGTACTATTTAATTTAAACTGTTAAATTTATATTTACAGATTAGTTGGCAACATTTCACATACAGTACAGCTTGATCTGACTTACTTCAATGGATAATTACTCAGCAGAAGCATACACCACCACCTTCTAATTGTTGGCATGTCATACTGTAAAATAGAGCACTGGTGAGCTAATGGTAACTAAGGATCTCTAAATAAATGACTTTGGAATTTAAGACTTACTTCATTGAAATCAAAATGCCCCTCCGATACCAATAAAGCTCATTTTAGCAGACAATGTACAATCCTATACCAAAATGTTTGTTTTCTATTCAATAATACCAATAAACAAAACATCAAATGCAAATTCTTTCAGATGTAGGACATTTATAATACTTTCTGGTGTAACTTAGGCTACAACACTGCATGGCTTACCATCAACACAAACACTCCACAGTTATTTGAATTGTGTTGTCTGGGAATGCCCTGAAAATTACAACAAGAAAAAAACAAACAAAAAAAAACACATACATAATTTATATAAAATATATAAAGAAATTAAAACATCAAAAGCTGGCAAGCCTTAGTATAATTGGTGCTTACTGTAATGTCATTACAGCTGTACTCCCTCCATGGCCCAGGAATGACACATTTTGATAGTTGCCTGTTAAGAGTAATATCATATAAGTGTAAGTAATTTAAAAGTGTAAGTAAGCAGAAGTAAAAAATACATTTTAAAAACACACGAAAAGACAGCTAAATCTGAATTAATTAATTAAGTTTAAAAAATAGCAAACAAAAATGGGGATATATGGTTTAAAACAGAACTACCATAACCCTGAACTCATGAACTTTGAACATTTCACTCGTAAGACCTGTAACTGTTCATGAAACGGCAATCACTGAAGCCACGTCCGGAAAGGGAATCAAGACAATAGATCTCTCTATTTCTTGGCTTCATGTTCTAAAACAATGTAACTTTGACATCAACTGTCAAGTGCTAGCACTTTCCTTTACATTTGTAAGGTATGAAATACCCAAGCAGAACATTTAAACATTTTCTGATTATTTGATCATTAAAGATAATTATTTTGAGACCTACACAGATCTTCCAATGATTTTCTGACCAGGAGGGCAGTAGAATTATCATGACTTGCTAGATTTTCCTAAATAAAAAAGTAAATATAAAATCAATTTAGACATTTATAGATAAGTTATTTAGAATATAATTTTTTTTAAATGGCTTCATACTGCCTCAGTCACAAAACAATGATACTCACAGGAACATTGCAGATTGGGTCTGCGCACAAGGGTGGCAACCAAGTCACTGTCACATATGAATTAAAGACATGGACCATTATGCCCTGTTAAGTAAAAGTGCAACAATTAAATAAGGAACCACATTCCCATTTTTTCCACACATCGTGCATACAGAATATTTGATCAAGGGAAGTCTTTGTATTACCTGAAGGTCAGCAATATCCTTCACAACAGAAAGACAGGCATTTAAAATCTGTTAACATTCAAAGAAATGCATTTACAATCTGTGAAAATTTAAGGACATAAAAGGGCACATAGTACTATACTGTGCTGCATGGGTTAAAGGGTAAAAATATATCATTTTTGCTGCATCTCACTGTTGCTTCTACATCACTTTGGTGCCCTAAAGTAAGGAAATCCATCCTGGTTAGGACTGTAGTTCCAACAGATGCCAAAAATTCACCGGCTGGTCCCGTCTCCATTAAGGCATGGTTTAGCTATGAAAATAACAGCAAAGTACTACAATGTGTCTTTTTTTGTTAGTCTTAAAACAATAAAAAAAAAACTAACAGTAATTTAAAAAACAAAACAAAACGAACAAACAAACAAAAAACACCTTACCTGATTCAGCTGGACTGTACTGGGTGACTGTTTCCAGCATGCCTTGTTCGGTTGCACATCCTGTAGAGCAGTAATACCCACCGTGGAAGACTCAGAAGGGACTGAGGAGTACATGAAAGTGTAAATAAATTGATAAAAAAAACATCCAGTTTAACGTCACATTACATATTTTTAAAAATGAACATGCGTACATTGGTAATGTTTTTGCTTTTTGTCTCCTGAGGGTCTGTCATCAATTTGAACGGATTCTGAAGGTGTGCCTTTAGATGGAATAAAATTTGATGCATTATATGTCTAGTAATGCTCTCACAATAACCAAAAACATCCAGTTTAACATCACATTACGTATTTTTAACATGTGTACATTGGTCATGTTTTCGCTTTTTTTTTTTTTTTTAAAGGTTTCTATATCTCACATTTAAAGGATTTCTTGAGTCACATGAAGGTAAATTTAAGAGGTAACGCTTTACAATAAGGTGTCAATGGTTAATATTAGTTAATGTATTAATTAACATGAACTAACAATGAGCAATACATTTGTTACAGTATCTATTAATATTTGATAGTGTTAGTTAATGAAAAAGATGACAACAATCAGTGTCATTAGCCTACTTTATTAATATAAGTCTTTCTGCTCTATTTTAAGACATCTCTAAAGGCTCATTTTAGGCGAAATAAGACTTTTAAAGGCCCTTTAAAGACCAGCAGCAGAATCCCTGTCACTTCGAATACTAACACATATCATAAAACATGTCATAAATGTCTGAAATCGTACACATTTGCCATCTATGATTATGACCAAAGCATCCTTGCAATTAAAAACCGTTAACACAAACACACATTGTTTTAAAAAAAACACAAGTAAGTTAATGTTCTTTGACTTACTGCCACCGAATTTTGAATCCACCATACATCCGGAAGTGAATGAACCTGACCTGTACATGCGCATTAACGGCAGTACGTACGGCGTGCATGCGTGTTATAGACATGCACATACGTAAACACCAGTGTTGTGCAAGTTACTTCCAAACTGTAATACATTATGGATTACTTGTTACTGTTATTTAAAAGTAATTCCTTACCTTACAACATTACTGTCTCAGAATTGTAATGCGTTACATGACTCCTGTATTACTTTTGAGTTACTTTCACCAAAATAACTACAGAAGTAGAACTTAACATTCTAAAATGACTAAATGTACTGCAGAGCATTTTATATCCAGTAGAGGATATATGGTGTAGCATAATGACTGTGGGCTATCCATGCTACTAACAATATAGCTATAATTGGCCAAGTGAAGGCTCAAGACAATGCAAGAAAGGATGACAGCCAGAATCGCAAACGATACAAGTCTGTTAAAAGTATGGTAGAGGTAAAGTGATTATCTGGCAATATCTGTGAATAGCTTGGGTCTATTCATATTAGACACAACAGGACTATATGTAAACTCTAATGCCATGACAAGATGCGCATACGTCCATCTCGCGCATGTACAGTCTTCTGCCATCACCCATTAGCCGCTTTTCCACTGGCCAGTTGCTTACAGCGAGCCGGGCGGGGCTAATAGCCTCGGACCTCGAGCACAGAGAGGCCGAAATCTACTTGGAATCATGGCGCGTTTCCACTGTCGGGCCAGTAGCCTCGCGGCACTCCTGTAAACCCCGCCCTAAACACGCCTTCACTGGACTACGTCACACAATACAAAGTTCCTCCAGCGAGAGGGAGATGAATGAAATAAATCGCTAAACAAATATATCAGAAGCTGTCGTTTAGTCTTTATTTACAAACTTAGACACCACACGCGGCTATTGACTGACCACGAACAGGAAATAGAACTTACTTGTGGCATTCTTGATTCGTTAATATCTCGCAGTCTTGCTGTTTTTTTATTTTCTTTGAACAATTCAATTTTAGGCTAAACGTGTGTTGTAACGCATGCGTTGCTGAACATGTACCGAGTAAAATATTACTGAAAACTAATTAGTAATGCCTTACACTACTGCGTTACAGCAAAAAGTAATCAGTTATTGTAATGCATTACTTTTGTTTCGTGTTACCCCCAACACTGGTAAACACATACTAGGTACGTGACATCACCGCGCTGCAGTCTGCAGCGAGGAGTACTTTGGAAAATGCGACGCCCATCTAGGCGGTGATAAGTCACGGAGACCTGAAACGCTGGGGATTGTAGCACTCACCCCCGTCTGCAATGTCACCGAGCCTCGCCCCGATCGGCCTGACGGTGGCTTTGCAGCGACGGAAGGCCACGTGCCTTATGTCATTGGAATCTTTGACTCGAGCCGAACGAGCGGCAGGTCTCGGATTGGCTTGTAGCTCTGATAAAATTTTCGGCTATTTTAGATTTTGTCGAAAACCTACTTTTCCAAGCTTTTGCCAGGTATTTGGCCCAGTCCGACCCAAAGCAGCGCAGAAAGATTCTCTGGAGTCTGACTGTCAACAATCATCCAAAAAAAGTGGAAATTTCCATTCACCTTGGCGAGGGGACCTCAAAACGTTCAAAGGTCGAGTGGCAGAGGTTGCTAAAATGACTATAACTCCAGAAAGGAATGAAATGACTTCACCCAAATCGGCACACCTATGCACGGGCTCAGTCTGTGGTCAGCCGAAAAAGGGTGCTGTGACTGGTCACTTGGTGGTGCTGTAAGGTGAAAAAAAATAAAATGAAAAAGGACAACCAAACAAACATGAAAACAGCTACAGCTAGGCATCAGTCAGTCCGATCGACTCGAAAAGTGAAAGCCCACCAGGGGCTGATTTTTCAAGAGTGTAAGTGACTTCTTTTCACACAGGCACAGCACATAGCCAGCATATGACCGAACTCCTCTTTCTGAACAGCTCTCTGGATCATTGAGTACCCAAAAAGGAAGACGAAGGACAGAAGAAAAACGTTTAAAAGAAAAAAAGTGAGAAAAAAAACACATCTGCTTTGTTTAACCAGTTGTTTAACTGGCTCAGTCTGTGGTCAGGTGAAAAAGGGTACTGTGACTGGTCACTTGGTGGTGCTGTAAGGTGAAAAAAAATATAAATGAAAAAGGACAACCAAACAAACATGAAAACAGCTACAGCTGCACAACTGCTTTGCACAACTCCTCGTTAGTCTAGCAAATCAGCTCAAAGGGGAAATATTAATAATTAATCATAACTAGTTATAATTAACTATAAATATTTAGATCCGCTGTAAGCATTTATTTGACCTCTCAGTGTTAACGCTCTGTTAATTCTAAGAACGTTAATTTCCTGGTTAAGGAAAATAACTTTCTCACTGTACAATACTACTCAGAACATGTAGCATAAATCTGCATGATTAGGGACTCCAGTTATGAGCAAACAATGAACAACGTCAAGTGTGATACAAGTAAGACTTTATTAACTACATTTAACTACATCTTTATTAACAACAGTTAAACTAGTCTAACATACACACACACACACATACAGTTGGTGTAGGAAAAGGGTTAAAGCTTAGGCAGTAAAAAGAAGAGAAATAAAAACATGACGCTATGGTACCATTTGATAGTCAGCAGATTTACAGCCTGAAGGAAACATCAGTTTCTTAGTTCAAACACACCTTTGTAAAAAGGTACAAATGATACTTAATGTATCAATTAATAAGACTAAGTTTGATACTTGCACGTCTTGTCTGTCTGAAAGAAAGTCCTGATGCAATCTGAAGGCTCAAGTTGATCTTTGCTGAAGTTGGTTAATGAAAAAGAACCAGTTTGAGTCAGAGGATCTTGGTGAATGGAAAGTCAAGGCCCGAGGCCTGTCGCAGACTTAGGGTGTCCTTAGAGGGGTGCTAGCTCACATCCTCATCTTCTCAGAATCTAACCTAACCGCAGCCTACCTGAGCTATGTGTTGGGCAACACCAGCTCAGGTTCTCCACTCGGACACAGAAGACTTAGTAGAAAAAGCACTCTAGGCGGAACTGTGCGTGAGCCCTTTTAAAGTCTGAGAAGATTCTCGCCTCTTAGGATGGGCTTGTCCAATGAGAAAGGCTGAAGTTTCAAGCAGGAGGTTGGATATTGGGGAGTTTTACGACCCTTTGTGTGAGAACATGGTAATTTGCATATGGAACTCAAATCAAAATTACTAAAGATTCTTAGAACACTAATATATTGCCTATGTACCCACATAGAATATAAACGCTCATTTAGATAATCAGAAGACAAATTCAAAGAGACCAAACATGGTATATGTAAGGTTACATGAATGAGTGGTTCTATCATAAGCATGCATAAAACAATCTACAATACAACAGACAATATACAAGACAGCAATAATATACACAATGACCTGGAGAATATGTGTTCACTCACAGAAAGGTTTTTTTATGAATTAATTCAAGTCCATTTTTATGGGCATTGTGTGTCTTTCCTAAGGTTAAAAAATTGTGAGTTTCTCTGCCCGCATTCCTTTGGGCAATAAAACCAGTGATATTAGCCTTGCTTGCCATGGAAGCAGAGGCCTGTTCTGCCTTTCTGAGGTGTTAAGACACATTTCGGGGGAAGGGTCCATAGACCCTCATATGGCTTGTTACCTGAGGGGTGTTACAGAGTATTTGTTAAATATAACTAAAAAATATATACTGTGTGTCTGATTGGTATAGTGAATGGTATCTCTGCCTGTCACGCGAAAGACCGGGGTTCGATTACCCAATGGGGAGAGCTGGTGTTTTTCTGCTGCCGAACGACACATCCAAAAGGTTTTGGTGCAGCCAGAGGTTACAGAAGGAGTTCTGCTTTGACTTCAGCCCAAACCAAAGGAAATGCGTTGGCCGGGAATCGAACCCGGGACAACTGCTTGGAAAGCAGCTATGCTCACACCTATATCACCAACTCAGGAAGTTGATGCTGGCTTGCGCAGTCAGAAAGAATGCTCAAACCACATGAGTCACTGATAGGGCTAGAGGAGCTGATGCAATCTTCGTTTGGGCCCAGCACTAAAGAGAGCAAGTCCAGGGTTTGGATCCCGTCACATACAAGAAAGCGCTGTCTTTCCGTACTTGCTAAATAAATACAACGCGGTGGCACAGAAACCGCAAAGGCTTCAAATACAGAAGTTGACCAGTTGCGCATCCGGCTTGTAGCAATCCCACTCCCTGTGGTAAACCACTACGCTCGCCAAGGGTAATCTAGGGTGCCGACACCAGCCCACTTGCATTTCGTCACCCACTCACTCCAAATGGGAGGAGTAAAAGTCACAAAAGTCCCTTCGGTCACCCAGTAACCATAAGCCCAATGAAGGCAATGCATTCTCTTTCTCATGGCTCCATCTGAGAAGTTGGAGAATACAATTAAACAAATAAAAGAGTCCAAATAATGACCCCTGTAACGTGTAGCATTCCAAAAATGAAACGACTTCAGCTGATGATGGGTCCATCCGGTATTTTATGGTGTAAGGAATGGGTCAGCATAAGAAAAAGCCACGCTTTGTTTAGTGTTGTCGATGCAGTGGCGTTGGCTGGGGGCGAACTCGTGCATGCACAACTACTCGTTAATATAGTGGACAGTATATCCGCCTGTCACGTGGAAGACTGTGGTGCGTTTCCCTGATGGGGAGAGCTACTATTTTTCTGCTGCCGAACGACACATCCAAAAGGTTTTGACGCAACCAGAGGTTACAGAAGGAGTTCTGCTTTTACTTCAGCCCAAACCAAAGGAAATGCATTGTCCTAGAATCAAACCTGGGTTAACTGCTTGGAAGGCAGCTATGCTCACCACTATACCACCAACGCAGCTGAATGACACTGGCTTGTGCGGTCAGTAAGAATGCTCAAGGCACATGAGTTGCTGATAGGGCTAGAGGAGCTGATGCAATCTTTGTTTGGGCCCAGCACTAAAGAGAGAAAGTCCAGGGTTTGGATCCCGTCACGTCCAAAAAAGCGCTGTCTTTCCGTGCTGGCTAAATAAATACAACGCATTGACGCAGGAACCGCAAAGGCTGCAAATATAGAAGGTGACCAGTTGCGCATCCTCCCACTATGTGTTGGTGGACGGCTAAATTCACTCTGTTCTTGACATTCCTGTGCAGCTCTGCTGTGATCAAAGCCTCCAAAAACACAGATCACTTGCAAAAAGGTCCCCTCCACGGAAATCTTTAGTGAAAGGTAAAAGATTTATGCAATAATGAAGAGAATCTCGAGCTGTGTCTCCATGCCCTTGGGCCTGTGCGCTCCTTTTGGTAAACCACTACGCTCGCCAAGGGTAATCTAGGGTGCCGACACCAGCCCAGTTGCATTTCAGCAACCCCTCACTCCAAACAGGAGGAGTAAAAGTCACAAAAGTCCCTTCGGTCGCCCAGTAACCACTAGCCCAATGAAGGCAATACAATCTCTTTCTCATGCCTCCATCTGAGAAGTTGGAGAAAACAATTAAACAAATAAAAGAGTCCAAATAATGACCCTGTAACGTGTAGCATTCCAAAAGTAAAACGACTTCAGCTGATGATGGGTCCATCTGGTATTTTATGGTGTAAGGGCTGGGTCAGCGTAAGAAAAAGCCATGCTTTGGTTAGTAATGTTGGTGCAGTGGCGTTGGCTGGGGGCGAACTCATGCATGCACAGCTCCTCATTAGTATAGTGGACAGTATCTCCGCCTGTCACGCGAAGGCCAGCTGTGTATACCTGTAGAACTGTGACTAGCCAATAAGAATGATTAACATATAATAAATTAACTTTGTCCACAAAGATAAAATAAAACATGTAATAATGGTTCTTGTGTAGGATTTACAAAATCTGCAACGATCTTAATAGCATTTACGTTATAATAGGGTATAGTTATCTTTAATATAGAAAATATTTGAATGTGAATAATTGAAAGAAAATTTTGATCACATTTTAGACTTTTATTTTTAAAGAGACATTCACTTGGATCGATGATGCTCAGATGATATCTGGAGTGATGCCATTGCTGTGTGCCATGTCGTGAGATGTGAGCGGAGTTTCTTCACTCGAACTACTCCAATAAGCACTCATTCAGCGGCGCAGGGAAAGACCCGAACTCGTCTGTACACACACTCGAGGGCTGTTCACAGTGTGTCATTTTTATTTATTTTTTTCCCCATCACCATGCCACCGAAGAAAAATCCAGTGTGGGAAGAGGTGGACGAAATTAGAAAGTCACTTTCTTTGACTTTCTTGCGGAGGATGTAACGGTAATAAAGACTCAACAGAAACAGCTTCTCGAACTGCTGGAGGAAGTCAAGAGGTTAAAAGGATAGCAGATCTGGAGCAGAGAGTGGATGGAGATGGAGGTGAGCTCCGCGGAACAACAGGTGGCAGCCTTTCTCGAGTCCAGAGGGATTTTGCTTGATGTGGACAACATCGAGGCATGCCACCCTCTCCCCAGGAGGAAGGACAACGACATGCCAGCAGTGATATTGAGGTTTGTGAACAGAAAAAATAAGATCGCACTGCTTAAACAAGGAAAGAAATTGAAGGGCACTAATGTATTCATGAATGATCATCTAACCAAGAGGAATGCGGATATAGCCAGAAAAGCCAGGTATCTGAGGAAGCAAAACAAAATTCAAAACACTTGGGTTACTAACTGCAAAATATTCATCAAACTTAACGGAACGCCAGAGGCGGAAGGTTTTGGTCATAAGAAGCATGGAGGAGCTGGATAAATATAATGCTACAGGATCAATGAGGTAAAAAAAAACAAAAGAAACACCAACAACTGTGTACACCAACACAATGACATCCAATCACATTTCACTTACTTCAAGAGACATTAACGACATAGGGCTACAACAAAGGATTCTGAACTATGAACACTTGGAACTGAAATCATTTGATTACACTGAGCATAATGAACAAGACTTGGAAGATGAAATAGACCCTTATAACATGTTTTTCTCATCTATCAATATTAGCTGTAACTACTTTACTGAAGATAATTATAACAACAGTACTAACTCAGAAGGGACATTTCCAATCATACACTTCAACAGCAGAAGCATGTATACAAATTATTTACAACAGTTTACACATCCATTCAGTGTTATAGCAATATCCGAAACATGGTTCAATGTGGATAAAGGAATTGATTTTGTATTAGAAGGTTATGACCTCAATTATATAAACAGAGTAAACAAAGCAGGTGGGGGAGTTGCTATATATGTCCATAACAATTTTAAGTTTAAAGTAATTGACAAGATGACATTAACAATAAATGATATACTAGAATGTATATCGATTGAAATTCACAATGAAAAGAAAAAAATATTATTATAAGTTGTATATATAGGTCACTCAAGTATGGAGTCATTTATTGACTGGATGGAAAATATATTTTCTATAGCAAGTAACAAAATGCTATTCATATGTGGAGATTATAATATAGATCTAATAAATTCAAATAAACATAAAATAACAGATGCATTTGTGAACAGGATGTACAGTATGAGTTTATACCCAACCATCACTAGACCCAGTAGAATTACTTCACACAGTGCCACACTCACTGATAATATTTTCACAAATAACATTGAATACACTGTGTCAGTGGCCTAATGATATATGACATAACTGACCATCTGCCAGTCTTCACATTGTATGATGTCGATTATAAAAATAACAAAACTCCCCAAAAAGCTGTATATAAACATATAAAGACAGAAGAAGCAATTAATTCACTCAATTACGACTTAATGGAACAAGACTGGAACATTGTATACAAAGACAAAGATGTGGATAGAGCGTACAATAGTTTTTTAGAAATATTTAGCACATTATATAACAAAAACTGTCCCATTCATCGAATCAACTACAAAAATAAATGTATAAAACGTCCATGGTTAACTAAGGGTTTACAAAATGCTTGTAAAAAGAAAAATACTCTATATAGACAATTTATTAAATTAAGGAAAAAATAATGCGAAAACAAATATAAATCATATAAAAATAAATCGACTAATATAATAAGAACTAGTAAGAAATTATACTATAAAAATGTATTAAATGAAAACAAAAATAATATTAAAGGGGTATGGGGTATACTAAATAGTTTAATTAAAGATAAAACAAATAAGAATCCATATCCAGATTATTTTATTGATATGAATGGTGAAAACTTTAATATGCATAATATAGTAAATAGTTTCAATTAATTTTTTGTAAATGTGGGACCAGATTTAGCAGCAATAATTCCTGAGTATGGAAGTAATGAATTGAGTGAGTCATTCATAGAAAGGAATGCGAAGACCATCTTTCTCTCTGATGTGAGTGAGACAGAGATTAAAACTATTGTTAATAAATGCAAAAATAAAACATCTACTGATTGTTATGATATAGATATGACACTAATTAAAAAAGTAATAAATAGTATTTCAAAACCTCTAACGTACATATGCAATGAATAATTTCAGACTGGAATAGTTCCAAATAAAATTTAAATTGCAAAAGTAATACCAATGTATAAAAATGGAAAGAAGCACATCTTCACAAACTATAGACCTGTCTCTCTGCTACCTCAATTTTCAAAAATTTT